TGGCTGGGGGATTCTGGGAGTTGAAGTCTAACCGTCTTAAAGCATGACGACTGGAGAATGCTGGGAGTTGAAGTCCACCCATCTAAAAACATGATGGCTGGGGGATTCTGGGATTTGAAGTCCACCCGTCTTAAAACATGATGGCTGGGGAATTCTGGGATTTGAAGTCTACCCATCTTAAAACATGACACAGTGATACATGGCATAGTGACAGAAGGAAATCCTACAACTGTTTGGTGTGAGTAAATGGTTTGATGGATGGGAAATTCTGGAATTTGAAGTCCACCTTGATTAAGCATGCTGGCTAGGGGATTCTGGGAGTGGAAGTCCACCCATCTTAAAGTTGCTATGGTTGAAAAACGCTGATGTAAACAAAAAAAGGAACTTGGAATAGGGACTACATTTCCCAGGATCCCTCAGTCATGCCCATAGTGACCCGCTTTACGACCGCCACGACTTAACCATCGTAAATTGAGGACTACCTGTATATGTACAACATAGTTCAATGTTTTCCAATGGGAAGTAAATTTTGGCAGGAAATCTCCACGTAACTCAAAACCGGTCACACTAAACCAGGGTTAGATTTGGTGATCTTTGCCTTGCCAAACCCCAAAGATCCAGCAGGAAAAAAAAAGAGAAAGGCTTATCACGATTTGAGATGCAAACATTTATTATTCCCCTCTCCAAATATCTAAACTGTCCTTTTTGTGTGCCTATTTACACGTTGGATCCAGCCAGGTCCAGAATGATAAGGAAAAACAGAATCGAGAGTTGTTGGTTTTTTATGGAGTACTTCCTAACTTTTTCCTTCTAAAACTCCAAACTGTTTTCGGAGTTCAACGAACATTTTCATTTTGTGCACTTTTATGAAGGTCAGAATGGAAAATCCTACTTCACGGGTGTGAGTGCTTAGAATTCAGGGGTCTTCAACCTTAGCAACTTTAAGCCTGGAGTACTTCAACTCCCAGAATTCCCTAGCTGGCTGGGGAATTCTGGGAATTGAAGTCCTCTAGCAAAGCTGGCTGGGAAATTCTGGGAATTGAAGTCCTCCAGCAAAGCTGGCTGGGAAATTCTGGGAAGTGAAGTCCTCCAGGCTTAAGGTTGCCAAGGTTGGAGACCCCTGGCTTAGATATTTAATTTTATTTATTTCTTAATTTTCGGTGAGGTCCACGCTACCATCACTGCCTCCTCATAGGAGATTCATCCTGAATTTAGTAAGCAAAGGGATCCCAAACGGTCCTTTTTCCCCCCCAAAAAAAACATTTTGCATGGATGGCTTGACGTGAGTTTAACCGCCGTGGCAAAAAGCCCATGAAATCGGGCGCATCTCGCTGAACGATGGGCGGGGGGGAGCCAGATCCGCTTAATGACTGGGTGACTCACTGAATGATGGCAGTGATTTGCTTAACACCCGTGGCCAAAAAAAAAAAGTTGTTTAAGAAAATGGTTGTCAACGAGCGTCTTGCTTAGCATCGGAAATTCTCAGCCCAGATTGGGTCATAAGTCAAGGACTGCCTGAACAGGGATAAATCAGCGATCCAATTCCCCCTCTTTTCTCAGGCTTTGAAAATCCAGAACTTTTGAGGTCTGTACAGAGCGAAAGCCGAGCAAAACCCGGAGGCAAATATCTGACAAGCAATTAATCCTCGTAACTCTACACAGAGAACTCTACAATGGATACAGGACACAAGGAGAGAAAGGTATGTCCTCTCATGGCCTCATATACAGAGAGACAGCTTCTTAAAGTGGTAAAACCCTGTGGGACCCATCCTCAGTTTTAAAGCGGCAATAACCATGCTGATTCATCCTCATCGCATCAGCCTTACAACAGCCGGTCAGCTATTAAATCTCAATACCTTAACAATCTGGCTCTTTTACCTTCCTGCTGTCTCTCTCAGCAGCCTCTCCATCCTCCCAACCCACCAGGTGACGCTTTTTCGACGCATCACATTTCACGCACCACGTTTTATTTTGCACGGCGGGTTGTTCGGCCTGGTCTGCTTTGCTGCTGCCCCTACACCTTGGGTTAATAAGCAAACGACGGCACGGTTAGCAAACGAAAATCCTCCAACGAAGGCGGAAGGCGGAAAGGAGGCCAAAAAACTGGTCCAAAAAAAAAAATATGGGATCCTCCGATCAACGTTGGAGATCTCTCCGAGCATTTCCCCCACCCACGCGAGGATTCGGTCGCCATCCTGAAAGATGTTCCCGGTCCGGATTTCGGCAACTTCAGGTGCTGGACCCAGCTTCGTATGAGGAAACGGAGGAGAGGGAACGGCTGGCCGGAGGGCTGCCCCCCAGCACCCGCCATTGGAAGATGCTCGTGTCCTTGCCCCCCATGGAAATGAGGTGGCCATCGTCGTGGGTGAAGCGGACATTGGTGACGTGGCTGCCGTGGCCGATGTAGACGTGGCTTGGAGCCTGTGGAAGAACGAGGATGTTGGGGTGGAGAGAAGAAACACTTAGAAACAACTAGACACACAAGGAGGTTTTTTCGGTATTACATCCCTGTGCTAAACAACTAATTCCCACAACACGGTCAACTTATTTACTAAAACTGTATTACTATTATTCCCCTACTACTAGATTATACTAACACTAGGATAGAGGGGGAGTAAAACTCCTTAGCATCAGAGTGTGTTAATAATAATAATTTAGGAAATACTCTAAATGCTCTGAGGGTCATTTGGAAAAATCCTTTCTTAGTGAGCCCCTAGAAGCCAAGAGGAACCTACGTGCCAAATTTCAAGTTTGTAGGCTTTACGGTTCTGGAGATTTTGTGATGATGCGTGAGTGGCATATTTTGCTTTTATATATAGAGAGAGAGATTCTCCTTCCCAGGAAGGGTGCCCTTCTTCCTTACTGCCCTCCCTCCTACCTTGGGCTTGGCGCACGGGTACTGGAAGAGGTGCACTTTGCAAAAATCGTCCGCCACGGCTACCACGCGTTCGTTGTGAGAACGGCAAAGGGAGTTGATATCCGTGCCGTCCGAGCCATCCGGCCAAACCCCTGGGAGGTTGGGAGGTTAAGAGAAGAAGAAAGAAGAAAAGAAAAAGGAGAATTTAATCTGATCGGTTCGATTGGTGATGCCTGCCCATTCCAGGGGATTCTGGGCCGCTGACAAAAACTCCAACCACCCTCCAAGCAATTAAAATAGTTACCAAAAACATGGAAACCCAGAACGCAGGTGTAGGAGGCCCATTCTCGGTCCCTGTTATCAAACCGGTTCCGTAGGAGCTTACAACCTTTAGCCACCTCCCCTGAAAACAAATCACTATTGTTATTTTATTATTTGTTAACTCATGAAATATTTCCTTTGGTCTTGTTAAGAGTTGAGAACAGAAAGGGAGAGGTTGAGCAGTGCGGCCACTTGGAAATGGAAAGTGCATTCCGTAAATAGTTTTTCAAAGATAGCAACAAGGTGACTGAAGTTTCTGCTGCAGCGAATATCTAACGGGAGAGCGTGATGGATGACTCTGAGCTATGGAGGTGTCCCATTGGAGAATATGAATTACGATACACCCAGGGGGTGGGGGTGGGGAAAGCCAGGGTCAAGGGTGACAATGAATGATGTGTCTCAGAGTCTGCTACACCCAGGCAGTGCCAGCATGGTTCCTCCCAATAAATCCTTTGGAAGTTTTGGAAGTTTGGCTTGAGACTCATGATTTAATTGGGGCAACTGCGACTAATCCTGACAGCTAGCCGACTCTGAGACGCATAATTTATTGTCACCCTTGACCCTGATAATGGCCCTGACAACAACAACAACATCATCTTCATCATCATGTTTCTATCACACCTTCATTTTTTTTTTTACAACTAACCTACCTAACGCACTTTCCTTCTTCTATTTTTCCCCACAACAACAATCCTGTGTGGTGGGCTGGATGAGCAGGAGGGTCTGATCCAAGGTCACCCAGCCGACTTTCATGCCTAAGGCAGAACTAGAATTCCCAGTAGTCTCCTGGCGATTGGCCCCAAAACACCTAGCTGACTTTTGCAGCTACTGTAAAAGT